ACACACTATCTTAATAATGTTGTATTATTTAGTTATATTATATATTTATTGAATAAAATAGTGTATATTTGGAATCAAAATTATAGGATTAATAATATTAAATTGTGTTCACATATATTAAAAGGTTTTTAGTTTAATTTTCAATATAAACATTTTTTTACAGATTGTGATGATTATTAAGGATAAAGATATATTCTAATCAGAAGAAATAATTGTTAATTGTTTATATTAAGCACTTAATTTTGATCAATCCATATGTTGACAAATAAGTTTAAAGCATATAAATTACTATAAAAATAATTATTAAATTAGTGATTAGTTTACCAAAGAAATGTAACTAAGTTAAGTTACAGTTATAAATGTAAACACAGGAACGAAATTTTGTTAGTTACTGGAAAAAAGTAACTTTAACTGTAACTTAGAACTAACGAGTTACAATTAAAATTACAAGTTACTTCCCAATTTTGCATTTCTCCTTTTTATTTGTGTTTATATTTATTTATTGATCTTAATGGATATTAATTTTAATAGCATTGATTATTTTTCTTATAATTTTATTTAGATTGATTTTGATTATTTTTATATCATATTACGTGTCAAAATATATAGAATTTGTAACTTTCTTCAAGATATCGAAATTACATTATAAGTATTTGCAATTTATCGGTAATAAATAAGATCATTTAAAATCGATGAATATTGTACATACAGTTCTGAATTATGCATCGTTAGATTTATAAGATCTACAACATTATTTATAGAAATGTAACAGATGTATTTTTGCCTTGAGAAATGTAATTATCCTATCAAATGTTCCCTCTGTCTTCTGACTTTCTTTATGTTCTTGTTTATACTGTCGTGTTGATTGTGTTCTACTATTACTGTGACGATTCTATAAACGTTATACTTTCCCAATAATACAGATTCTTCGCCGATATCTTCGATAGCACAGCAAGATTGCAGGGAGAGAGTTCTTCATACGTGCTCGAGGTGTAACGCATTCACGGGAAATGTCGCAAAGCTCGAGCGAGAGCCTCGCGCCTGCCATCGATCGATGAATTATCCTCAGAGTCAAGGACAAGTACGAAGAAATTCGCGCGCGAAACTCGCTACATATTCATGCGTTTTTCCTCACTAACCGGCTGTAAATTCTCTTTTTCCAGATCCGTACCTGAAGTGGACCCTGCAGCGCTCTCATAACATCGACTACATCCAGAACATTTTGCCACGTCATCAATGCCCGAAATGTCACCGCAGCTATAAACACCGTAGTCACATGATGCGGCATTACAGATATGAGTGCGGCATACCGCAGCGATTCGAATGCCCGTACTGCAAGCATCACTTGCGACAGCGTACACACGTGTGGACGCATATACGCACGTTCCATCCGGATCGAGAACTTTACTGTATCGACATTGTCACCAACTCGAGGCTTTGTTGGCAGGAACCCCGAAATGACTGAAACAAATCGATCACAGAGCGATTCTGTTTTTAAAAAATTAGATTCTGTTATTATATATTTCTTTAATCATGTATTTCTCATAAGAGATATTTAATTTAAATTGATTGATATATGTTCAAAAAGAGAAATTTATATTTATACATATATTTCCATTTTTTAATATTTTTTAAAAAACTCCGCACAAATCTTACGGAAAAATGGGTCTTGGTCAAATTGCTTTAAATTTTAATATTTTTTAGCTCATGTCAAGCAGATTAAAATTCTTCACGGGCATAAATCTCCAAATATCATAGTTTTTGTTCTAGGACCTTCGGAAATTCTTTCTATTTTGTATGAAAAAGTACAAAAAATTGAAATAAATTTTTTTTACTGCACTTGTATATCAATTGTACATTTATTATTTTAGAGTTTTGCTCTTATTTTTAGAATTACCCGGAGCAAACGAGTAACAGACGCCTCATTCCTTTGAGATGTTTGATTTATATGTTTTATGTCGTAATTATATAATATTCATAACTTTAATGTTAATAAAAAAATTATTTGGACTATTTGTTTGCATAAGATGTAATCTTTCGAAAATTCTAAGCAAAAACTGAGGCATTTGGAGATTGTATACGTGAGGATTTTTAGTTTGATATGAGTTACACAAAGTATTAAAATTTGAAATTATTTGATCAAAACTCATTTCTCGTAAGATTTATGCAGAGTTATTTATGTCCCTGTACAGGATGTGAGTAAAATCTCCATATCCTGTATTTCGTAACATAATTTCCGTAATGTATATGGCAATAAAAAATTTTATACGTACCTATATCTAAAATTTTAAACGATCTGTACAGTACGTAGTACACGGAAATTATGTTATAGAGTGTAATGTGATATGAGAATCATGACTGTTAAGAGCTCAGATGTGTTACTTAATTGTTTGATTACTTGAAACTTTGATTACTAGAATACTTCATAAGCTACTTATTTCAAGATTCTTTTCAAGAATTAATAAATGAAAGTTTAAAAGAATAGCTTTTCAGAGTATTTACATTGTAAATGTACAACGTGTGTTGTATGACTTATACACACACACATATATATTGTATATATATATTTATATAATATTTAAATTAAAACGCAATTTTCAATATCTATATTAATATATTTCTAAGCTCAAACGATTACTTTAGAGTTTATAGGAATGTTCGAATAGTTAGTGTCAAAATCCTCATAATATTTTTCTCGAAACGCATCTGGTATCATAAGAAAATTTATTTTCCAGTTTTTTTAGGAAACCAAATTTTCCTATTACATGTTAGATGCGTTTTAAGAAACAGTTATATAAAAAAAAATTAATTAAATTTTTTACATCAACTATAATAATTATTATCTTCTATCATGAAAGTTTTTTTTGCTAATCAGACAATCGTGACAGACTTATTTTCATGAATTCCTTCATCGTCTCTAATGTTTTCTCACTTTTAGGTAGATCAATATCAATAGAAATCTAATGAATTGTATTTCGCAAATCACTTTTCGTTTCCCGTCGAGACTAATCTATATGTTGAATCAATGAATGTATAAAAAGTTTTACAGTTTTACACGAATAGTTACTGCCTCTCATCTTTGAATTTTGACTTCATATAACGAGTTCGAATATCTTTGAATTAAAGATTTGTGATATTAGCCGTGTTTTCACTAAACATTTTATACGACAGTTGATTTTATTAGGGAATGTAACGAAACGTTCATTCTTGCAATCTTGTGTTCGTCAATAAAGACAATTATTAATTGAATGGCTTTCTTTTTTCTTTTTTCGTTTATTTCTGTAAACAATAAAAAAGTCGATGTTTTCGACTTTTGTATATCTATACAATATTCAACAAATTCTAACCATGCGATTTTCACGATTTATAAAAGAACGGTGAAAAAGTGCGCTAAAATTATTTTGCAGGACACATCCATTATGAGAAAAATTAAGAATCGACTCATTACTAAAATGCTCCTGCTTTTTCATGGGTTTCAGATAGTTCCTCCAACCGGAGGAGAAATCACGAAGAAGTTTATTTGGATCCAAACGATTTCACTATACGAAACGGTCTATACGAGTGTCCCAGTTGCGGCAATCTATACAAGTGGAAGAAATCGATGCTTGCGCATCTGCGTTATCAATGCAAGCAACCGCCGAGATTTGAGTGCACGTATTGCCCGATCAAAAATTACCAGAAAGGACACATTGTACGTCATCTGCGCGTACATCACCCACATCTATCGCAACTGTATTTCGATCGGAAGTTCAACACTGTATATCGGCTTTGATTAAGTTTGACCTTGCATATCACATTTTTTATGCTCAATAAATTAAACGTCTGCATCTTGAATTAAGTGGCTAATTTATAAAGAATCCCATATTGCTTCCTGTAATTGTCGACGTCTGATTCTAATTATTTTGTTTTCGTTTTACCGTGAAATGTGAATGTATATTTATTACAGTCAATTAATCTTGTTATTATTCTTACGAATTTAATTAATTCGTCATTGCTTTTCTCCGCAGGTACGGATGCGCTTACATTGATAAATAAAATGACACTAATGATATATCTTGATATTTTTTCCAAGACTAGGATATGTCGATCGACAGTCGTCACATTGGTCGTCCTTTTCGTAATATTAACATTGTGCTAGACACGTAGTTTGTATAAACGATTTATTTACGACGCGTATAGACGAAGACGGAAATGCTGAGTACGTGCAAAGTCACGTTGCGAGGAACGTCTTTCAGATTTAATTATTTTCATTATGCGTTGCTTGCTGGGGAATTCGATGATGCAGCCTAAGCCGAACGGCCGGTGATCATCGTAAAAGCTTTTCTTTCTCGCGCGCACTCGAGCATGTCCTTCAGCATCTTCGTCTCCGTGTTTCAGGGCTCCACGTGGTGTTGCCGTTCGGGCCGAACATGATCTGCAAGTATCAACTAGGAACGGACAGCAAGCTCAATTCTGATGCCTGCAGTAAAACGAAGATACGTACGCGCAAGGTCAGCACCGACAACATGAAGCCGTTCCAGTGCCAAAAATGCGGTCGTGGTTTCACCTTGAAGAGGAACAAGGACCGCCACGTAAACTACGAATGCGGACACGAGCCGAGGTTTCAGTGCCCCTATTGCGGACTCCGCAGCAAGCAAACGTCGCCAGTTTATGCCCACATCAGAAAGAAACATCCGGAAGAGGAAGTCTTTATCTTCGATATGAAGCTCTGAGCACGATAAGAAGATCGCGAGTGTCTTTAATTCCACACCTGAGCTACTGGAGTGAATTTTGTCTTTCCACTGGACTCGCTTTTTATCGCGATCTTCGCACATCGTTGAAGACGACTGTTTCTCAATCTCGCTTGTTACTGCCATAAAAGAAATTGATTGCAATAAAATATTTTATTTGAGTTACCTATTTAATTTAATTAATTCAATATATTATTTAATTTAGTGACAAAATTTAAGTTGTGAAAGAAATATTAATAAAAAGGCTGTGATTTAACAAGAAAAGCAATTTGAAGATGATATTCTTTTTTCTATATGAGAACATTGTTAAAGCTGTTAGACATTGTTAAAATTTTTTTAATATTATATTTTTATTCAAGTCAATTAGGACTTAAATTTTTCTTAATTATGAAAAACTTTAATTCTGACTAAGATGCTTGCAAATGGCTGGTACCACGCGCGTTGAGAAATTGTTCTACATTACACAGACTTTGCCAAGCGACAACCAAGGCCAATCGTCGGAGAAGATTTCTAACTTTGGAATAGTTGACGCCGTACTTTATTATCCGAAAAAAGTTGTTGCTTCTACTTTATAAGAGAATAATAATTCGCTTGTATGTTGTTTTGTGAAATAAAGTTTTATCGCAGTTTTATGTCTACCGCTGAAACGCATAGATTTTAATAAAGCGGCTAGACATTAATGCCATTCTTGTTCACGTACCTTTTTCAAGTATACGACCTGCTATTGGCAGCACGGAGAGTTCTCATCACCCGAAGACTGCACAATCCGTTTCAATTTTTCTAATAGATCTCTAGTTACGTAGATTCTCGTAAGCAATAAGAATCACACGTAGCGATTTTATATTCAAATTTTAGACAGCATTTTCGTTAAAATAACACATGTGCTTCTGCGTCACCGTAGCCCGCGCGACGGAAGCGTTGCTGAATATAGGTTCGTCACGAAGATGCCCCGCAATTTTCAAAGGTATTTTCTTTATTATTTCTTTCTTTCTACATTATTTCATTTGCAAAATTATTTCTTCTATTAATTTATCTTCCCACTAATAACAAAGCATGAATATTATCCCGGCAAACTTTCCAGTGGTCCTACATTGAAGACTCCGACTTTCCCTCGAATCTTTCCGCTATTCGTCTCTCAAGCTCAGTGAGTTGTTACATCTTATTAATCGAACGACTTTGAAGTTTCAGGTTTTTACGCGACGACCCCGCAACTGGATCTGAACTTCGTGTTGCAATCCTGCAAGGGCTTCGAGACCGATAGCAGCAATAGGGATTTTGGCCAGGACAGCTCGTCCTCCATGTCGAGGTCGATGACGAATTATTTCTCTCATGGTCGCGTGAGAAATACCTATCAATCGAAGGTCACGTTCACCGACAACAAACCTTTCGGTTGTCCGAAGTGCGGCCGCTGCTTCACTGTCAAGGGCAATATGACCAGGCATTACAAGTACGAGTGCGGACAGGCGCCACGCTTCCAGTGCCCCTATTGCGAGTTCCGCAGCAAGCAGACGTCCAACGTGATGTCTCACATTAGGACCAGGCATCCCGGTCAGAAAGTCTACGTGGTGCACCTCAAATATGAGGACAAATAAAGGAAAAGGACAACCGTAGACATTGCAATCTCGCGTGACGACAGTGATTTTCTTGATTTGAAACGTGCAGGGAACCGCACTCGTGTGAAAAGAACGAATTGTTTGGGAAATTTGAAAAATTTTCACCGCGGACAAGTCTTATATGATCACACTTCTCGCGCAATCATCATTCAAACGTCTAGTACGATTGTGTGTCCAATCCGATGTATCAACATTTGTTGAGATAGACCGGGCATGTGAATTATTGCTCACATCTCTACGCGACAAGATGTCTCATGAACGTCCTTAGTTATTAAGAGTTTCACGAGCGCGGTGCGGTTCCTACGTCATTAATCGGATGATATTTAATCTGGATACCGCGTAAATACCAATTACGATACTTGATGCAATAATCGGAGGCAGGAACGCGAATGTTCGTTAGCAGTTGCTTAGCCATATGAAATACGACTTCGTCGTGAGGTCTGCTGTCGATGCGTGAAACGGCGAAACCGTGTAAAATTTGTAGCGGTTGAAATAGTGGGACTCAGTATTATCGTCAGATATTCTCTCCGTCTTTACACGTTACGAAATATCTCCTTAGCAGTTAATGAACCGGCGCGCGGAACTTCTCGATGTGCTACGTGAAAAATTATGACGTTTTTGAAACACTATCAGTTCAGCCTCGGTGATGTTAGTCATGTGAGACTTTCGAGGTACGCGAGAAAAAGGTCTTCAGCGCAAGCACATTCCGAGTTTTGGCATTCGCGCGCTATCCAATAAGCAATCTTTCGATTATTAGGGGCTTTAAAAGAGTCGTATGTTTTTTAAAACGTAGATGTATACCTATAAAAAGATTCAGGTTGTGAGGTTGACGATGGGACACGGGAAAACATTTGTATGCGTCTAAATGTACCAGGTATGATCAGACTAGGTATGAGTGTCGGATCGCGGCCGGTTCGTATTGTTAGCAAAGAATTTGTTCGATTTTACAGTTGACAAGTTGGAATTGTTATAAACGACGAGCGACACATTAAGTACACGTCGTGCTCGTCATGAAGACTGAATTGTTACTAACAAGAGCAGAAAGTCTGAAAGAACAGGGTTTTAAGCGGTCGGAACAAACGTAGTTACCTTCTGTTTTGATCACGATATAGAATCACGCGCTACTGTGACTTCGTTCTTAACATGGAGACGCATTGTACACAAGGAACACTAATAGCAATCGATAATATAGAATATATATTTCACCTATCACCTATCGCGAAAGTAGATGGAAGTATTGCTCTTCATGTATTGCGGAACACACCAGTTTGTCACACGTTCGGTTCTTTCGCGATTTGTTATCGCGGCACGTGCCTGCTTTTATTTTTTGCAATCGTATCGCATCCGCGCGGATAGAAGGGTCTCTTAGAGACACGAAACACGTTAGTGACCGACTGTTTTTGTTGCTGTGATATAATTACTCGTGTAGCGATATAAGTGTATTTGACTAAGTACATACGCGACGAAGCTACGTTAATCACGTTATCCGCCCTAGCGCGTAGAAACGAGTGTTCGTCATTCGTTCTGTTATACGTAAAATAAGGTGGTACAATTTTGGACATGGTATAATTCTGAATGAAATAAAATTTAAATCTAATTTTTGAAGCTTAAATTTGATTTTTTTTTCTTATATGATACTTTTTAACTCTTAGACAGCGGACGTCGTGATACTCGTACGGCAGATGCAGAGTTAAATGTGATCCAAGAACGATATTGTCTTAAAACGTTTAAAAAGCAGTTTTTTTATTATCATATAATACGTAGTAAATTATTTCAAATATATAGAAGATAAAATAAAAATACATATTTATCATAGAAACAAATATTCATTTATTCATTTTCTTCACAGTTAAAAAAAAAATAAACAACTCTAACTCACTCAGACTCTGCGTCCGTTGACGGAAAATATATTAATATACCTTCCACTAAGATCATTAAACTTGAACGAAAATTGAATTATTTTACAATATTAAAGTATCATATTAGACCATGATGCAAACACACAACAATTAAAAACAAAGCCTATTCGGTCAAGCTTGGATTTCTAAATTAATTACAGATTTTTAGTTGTTTAAATATTTATTATAAAGATGCCTATATGCATCAATATTGTTAAATTGCTTGTCAATTTATTTGTGATATTACTATTCTACTTCTGTTTGGATTGCATTTCAAATCTGAAAATAAATTCAGCGTGCAATTTGAAGAATTAGATATGTGGTATACAAATTTACACGCAGTTGTTTTAGCATCCAAACTCGACCGTTTAGTGTTTGTTTCTTAATTGTTGTGGATTATTTTATTTCTTTCAGAATTGTAGCATGTTCGAAATTGTACCATTTTACCATATATTTTGTTTAATTTGTGATAATAACTATTCCAGCTTCAGTTTATGATAGCGTTTCAAATCCAATAATAATTGGCGCATAGTTTTTATAGAATTGAAAAATGTATTTTAAAATTTATGTAGAGAGAAATGTTTTATTAGACATTAAGATCCAGCCTGGATCATATTTGACGTTCTCTGTTTACTTGTTATTCACTTAGCAAGCTAGTTTAACTTGTTATTGTTTGTATATATATTTCATTTTCCTTTTTATCTTCATATATTCTGTCTTCGAATTAAATAGATATTTTAGGATGTTGAGCAAGTTTTCGCGAACAAGGGATCTCGTCCGCACGGGGTATTTTGATGGACGCAAAACAAATAATTCTCGGGCTGTAAGCTTCGTGTTCGAGCTTCGTATGACGTACGTCAAGATACCCTACGGTTCCTGGCCGATTAGGAACGCAACATGTTTTCACCGTCGGTATATCAATAGCGATTTTCTCGCGGTACGTTTTATGATCGTATATCGTCGCTGTGGAAATGTAATATAAAAATAAATTGATGTTCGGACACCCTACTTGCCAAATGTGCTTTAGTATTTTTCCCCCTGATGTCCCGAACCTCTTCAGACTCCCCTTCACGAATCGGGCATGTTACTTCAGTTAAAACGTTCCGGAACATAGGATCTCATCCGACGAACCTGTTATAGCTGCACGGTAGATGATCTACACGCGTGTGGTGTTTGTTTGCGGCCGAAACTAACGATGCCTATCCCTACCCTTCATGACTGCGAGGAACATATTTGACATCAAGTTTTCTACCAACGTATCCGATTATTCCACTCACGTGCCGTGAGACTAATCATTGGGCAGTAATTTACGTAACTTTTTATCTGCATTTATGTGCTTTGCGTCAATGATCCTTGCACCTTAATATCTAACGAGCTATTCTTCTCCAGGGCCAATGACAAGTATTTCCAACGTGACTTTCCCATCAATCGATTGGCTGTCTTATTTACTTATTTTTTAGTTTTTTGAAGGAAAAGATTGTCGTTCGTTTAATGAAAAAAGTAAACATGTAGATGAAGCTTGTCGATGTGCCCGATGTCAGAAGCTACCACACATAATAACCTGGACCAAATCTCACAACTTCGGTTTTTGCTTTCAGATCTTCAGATGATGGACTGCTTCATGAACTTCATAGGTCCCGAGGAACGTGTGCCTTCCCAATCACAAAAGGCTCTCTACTATTGTCCTAAGTGCCTGCACGGTTTCACCCTGAAGAGTAACCGCAATCGTCACTTCAGATACGAATGCGGCCACGAGCCCAGGTTCAAGTGTCCTTACTGCGAGTTACGCAGCAAGCAGACATCGCAGATCTATAGTCACATCAGAAAGAAGCATCCTTCCGAAAGAGTTTGGGTTGTCGATCTCAAATCCTAACGAAATGTGCGGACATCGCGTGGATCTTCCATTTTGATCATGAGAGCAGTGTTGTGTATTATAATGATTTCAAACATAATAAATGTTACCTACACATTACTTCCCGTCTTGACGATTATGATGGCGCTCTTATCTTTCACTCGTCGCTAATTGCGTGCTCATCATTCCAAAGTTTCACTTTTAGGACCAGATTGCCCACGTTACAAGAACGTCTGCTTATATTAACTACGTTATCAGGTACGAATATATATAACGTGCGAGGCGTAGAAATTCTTAATCAAAATTCGCTCTTTTTGAGTCCATCTTGAGCTTCTTTGAGAAACTCGATGTTTATCTTTATGATATACATATATATCTTATGTCAAATGCGTCATGCGACATCGTAAAAGTTTATGATGATCTACACATCGATTAATGATACTAGATTAAAACTGAGTAATATCGTTTATAGTTTATGTATTATATTCACGCACGATATTATCTTTTGTTTGTACAAGCCGTTATTACATTGTACATATTTTAATGATATACATTTACAAGAGAGATATATCATAAAATTTTCTTCAATGTAACTATTGATGTTTCTTTTATACTAAAAAGTAATAAAAAGATTGGTAAATAATAATTATTGAAAATAAATAGTTGATTGCATGAAGTTTCTAAGAAGAAATGAAAATCGTCATTAAAATATGTACTCCATTTTATAACATTTTCTGCATACCAGCTTACAATATAGTTTCATGATCAATTCGATCAGTTCAAACGCATTATAAATACACATTGCACCAAACACTCGCTTTTTAATACGGACGTCGCACTTACGTGCGACTCAATAACTATAATGATTTTTCCTTGGACTGTCGATAGTTCGTCAATGATTATCCGCGATTATTGATCTGTTTCTAATTGTTCCATCGTTTGCTTTCAGTTTTTCTATATGGAAGTTACGGGATTGGTCTATATGACTCAACGAAGCCCGACGCAAATCAGACCATCAGGGTGTCGCCAATTCGACGACGAGGAAGCAATCGCCGTAATCACGTGTGCCCGAAGTGCGGTAACGGTTACACCGTGATCAAGAGCCTCAGGCGACACTTGCGCTATGAGTGTGGTCTGACCCCGAGGTTTAAGTGCCCTTATTGTGGCACTCGCAGCAAGCAACGCGGTCACGTGAGCCAGCATATACGTAGGAAGCACTCCGGTCAGCGCATCTATATCATCGACTCTCCCTGATGAGGCTTCATCTAGTATACCCTCTAATGAGATTTTTCCTTTGGCGACATACATTAGCAACGTCGACGTATAGTCTGACGATCTTGTTTTATTATTCTTGATTTTACCTCTTTCGATATATTCGATCTATTGACACTCTTGTTGGTAAACCGATATTACATATAATTGTAATTGTCGTTTTGTTAACTGTGCTTGATGGAATAAAGCATTTCCACGACATTCTACTGGTTTTCGAGAAAGTCGTTTCATTTCCATTCACTTTATACATCAAACGCTTGCATTGATAGCTCTTCGCAACAATCTGGACGCATTTTGTGGTTTGTTGATGAGCAAACCGAACAGGTAAACGGAGACCTTTGCGCGAGCTTGAACTCCTCGGGGTCAGGTGACGGGAATAATTCGCGGTAACACACTCGCGAGCGTCTCCACGATCTTCTCATTTTTATCTCTTTCTTCTTCCCGCTTGGAACCAGCGTATTTTTATCATCTAGCTAACTCTGCATCCTATCGATTTTTTTTTAGACGCGAAGATGATCAAGCTGGAGACCATGTGTCTGCAGAATATGTGCGAGGTGGTAATGGAGGAGTCCCAAGACTTTAGTTACGAGGAAGAGAAGCCACTCAATTCAACAAGGAGGCGCCGCGGTGGACACGTGCAGGATGACATCGAGAGGCATACGTGCTCGCGATGCTCGAAGAGCTATATACATGCGTGGCATTTGAAGAGGCACACAAAATTCGAATGCGGCCAGGAGCCGAGAGTCCAGTGCCCTTACTGCTCCGCCAAGATGAAGCAACGCGGTCACGTTTACAGGCACATCCGCCAGTGCCACCGAGGAGAAAATGTTTTCGTGATCGATCTTAATTGATAATTCACGAAGATGAGACTGATAAATTTCAATATGGCCATCCAACAGAATTTCGAATTTTCAATATAATACTGGCGCTGATTCGGCAATCCTCACATTTATTGAGCCATAATTTTGCCAAATCGTATAACTATTTTGGAACATGCTTTATATTCTGACTTTTTAAAATTCTCTGTTTATTACGAATTGTATAATACTTGTATTATTTATTTATTATTTTATTTTGATTACGAAAGAGATTTCATTGAAACGAAAGCTTTTTCATAAGCTGCGTGATTTCGAATAGATTCGTGTTTGCTTTCGAATACACATAGCATAATAAAAAAATCTTAGTTACCCTTGGGACTCGTTAACAATGTGAGATTACATTAGACATTTCATTTTATTCAGTTTTTATTACAACGTTTTTCATTCGATTTTTATTTCTTAACTGGATTATTTTATTTAGCTTAACGTGATATTCGCCATCAACCGATGAATTAGTTATTTATTTGATTTATTATTTGATGATTACTATTATATTTTATTGGATACGAGTGTAACATATTGATCAAAATTATCATGTTGAAAAAGAAATATTTATTTAATAATGTGAGATCTTAAAGTTTGGTTTGATTCCTTTTCTCTCGTTGCCACTTTTACATTGTTTAGTTTATCACCGTTATATTTTATACTGATTCGTTATTTTAAAATTGTAGTTGAATTTGTATTATAATGTATTAATTTAAACTGATAAAGACCCTGTGATAGTCAAAACGTATTGATAATTGGTGCATTCAGCAGAAAAAGCAGCTTTGCAACTGTTGTAAAATTCTAGAATATGATTGGCTTATATATTTATATCTAATAAGGAAGTAAGGGCAAAACCAATCATATTAAAGAATTTTACAACAGTTGTAAAGCTGCTTTCTCTGCTGAACGCAGCAAATAAATCTAAAAATACATGATTATATTTTCAAACATTCTACTTGCTCGATTATTATTGTTTTAAATTGTATTATTGTTGCAATTGAACGTGTCTAAAATAGGGAATTAGAGGATTCGTATCTGCCGTAATACAATTATTATAGTATAGATACTAATGTATCTAGTCATTATCAGAATTTAGATATGATAGAGGGAATTAAGATGAACAACAGAAAAACGGAAACAATTTATTTTAACTGTATTATCTCTTGTATCTTGTCTCGTTATCCTAAAAAACGAATAAAATGCGATATTTTCTTATTTAATTGAAATATAGTCATTTTCCTGGTAGATTATTTATCATTGTCCGTATTATAAACTATACATATTATTAACAATTGAATAAAGCAAGTTCATTTGTTGCTTTCTAAAGAATGTTTGATTATTATCAATTTAAATGCTTCCCGATACTTTTAATAACATTATTTGGATTGTTATTATGACTAAAGTACATCCTATTCTTTAGATCCTTCAAATTTTTCCAATGTGAACAATTATATTTCGAATAGAGATAAAAGGGTTGATATAGAATTAGCAAGCTGGTCTTTGAAATGCTATTTCGTCGTTCATTTAATAATACTGCATAATTACTAATTTTGATAATTTTTTTTAGCGATTTTAATTTTGTATGACATGCGTTTATGGCTGTACATATAAACGTTTAAATTGGAGTCACGCATTCAAATGTGAATGTTCAAAATCTAAGCAATTATTTTTATGATTTTGCCAATTGGAAATTCCGTGGCACAATATAATATCCTACCTATAAAAATTATCTCTCCTATCGTTTGTCTCACAAAGATTTAATCGTGCATTTATGGTTTGTTTATATATTCAAATAATATAGCCCAAGTAATAAAATGAGGACGCATTATTTTCTTTTTCTCTCTCTAATTAGTACTTAATATCTTCATAAACACAGCCGTCGCATCTCTTTTTTGTAACTAACGCCCCCCGTTTTCTTCTTCCTCTCGCTTGCAGAGCCATCGATACCGCGCATGATTCTGCCCAGGAACATGCAGCAACGGATGTGTTTGCCAATGATGTCAATTAAGGATCTAACACTCTGGATGGGCAAGCAGAGAAGCGGGGATATTACATTTCCCTATCGTTGTGAGAGATGTGGGAAAGGTTATCAGCATCGCGGCACCTTGTTAAGACACACTCGACATGAGTGCGGCAAGGAACCGCAATTCAAGTGTCCGTATTGCCCTCATAGGACGAAACAACGTGGCAATCTGTATCAGCATATCCGCACCAATCATCCTGGGAAGAATGTTTTCTCCAGCAGCATCTAATGCTCGTAAATGTCGCGTGCTGACGTTGCCATTTTTGCAGTCTTCCTGACTGATTTCTATTTTTTACCTAGCAACACTTGTATACGCGCGAATTAACGTAAGGGAACGTTGGGAAAGATAGTTGCAGTTACCATTGAGATTTAATTATATTGCGGATATTGCATAAACTAACTTGTAGTATATAACGCCTATGTCAATTGCAATTATGTAAGGACATTTTTAATTGACGTATCTACTAATTACTATTAAGGATATTCGATCTCTGGATTGATTAGCTGAAATCAGTTTCTGCAAAAGATCGGTTCAAAAATAGTTTAATTTTTTTTTTAGAAAAATCAATTTTTATGTTAAAGATTTGTTTGAAAATAGTTCTTTATGCTTGGAAAAATCGTATATATTTTTTTGTTGTTAGAAAATTAGAACATTTTTAAATACTATATTATTGTTGGTGAAATATTTTTTCTGATTTTTTTATTATCTATATTGATATTTGTATTGTATAGTTGTAAGCATCAAATTATGCATCCGAATGGATGCATTAATAGTGTGATCAAAACAAAATGATGATTTTATATTAAAGTCACATTTTTAAATGAAAACAAAATTTTATGAATTTAAAATTTCAATAGGTTATTTGCATTGCTTGACATTAATACAAATTTTTGCTTAAAATAAGATAAGGATACGTTTGGATGTTGAAGAGAGAGAAAGCGAAAATGCTAAATGTAGAAAGTGCAAGCAGCGCGAACACAAACCCGATTTCAATGAAATCCATCCTGTCTTTATCTTCTTTTATTTATTATAGGTACATTATATTTATAATATTATTGTTCCTGAATTTGTAAATTTGCCAAATTTTAAAATAAATGAATTGGATCGTTTTTTTCACGTACTTCTATGAATAATTCTGCATGATTCCAATCATTGTAGTAGAGAGACGTGCTTAGTGAGTGTCTAACGCGTGTATAGCATATAAACGGCTAAAGCCAAAAACAGTCGAAGTCAAGATTCACATTTGGACGTACTACAAATACGATTAAACTGCAATTTGTTGGATGTTGTTAGGGTCTTCATTAAAACTGTCTTTTTTTTAATATTTATTAACATATTTTGCATGATTCCTTTCTTGTCTCTGTTTGAGTTGAAGATTCTTAAGTATAAATATATGTATACTTTTTAGGCAGCGAAACTATTTTTACACGCGACCGGCCAACTCTTCTTATTTTTGATTGTATAACATGAAGCGATAATTGATTACAGGATATATTACGTAAGATTCAAAATTTATTGTATTTTAGTAGTTATGTACCCCCCAAAAATGGACTTTGGTGGTTCGGGATAAGAAACTTGTAGTGTCTATTATTAATCTTTTAAATTTAAATTAACTACTAGTTTTTTGAACATGGCTGGAGACATTACTGCGTCTCCTGATTAAAAACATATTTTACAGCGTTTATTAAAAAGTATTATCAACTTTTTATTAACAATGTTTTTTACAAGACGAAAGTGCTTAATAAATGTTAATTAAAATTAACGTACAAATATTATTATATATTATAATAAATTTATGTTCTTGTGTCAATTACTATTCAGAGGACTGTTTCTTATAGATATAAATGCGTAAGTTGGGCTCAACAAAAATAGATAAAGGCGCTGCAGTATCTTGTATTCTCATCTTTGCGACCGAATGTTTGAAAGTTTCCACGAGTTGGACTCAGCCTGCTATTAAAATTTATTTACCTCGAAATCTCCGTGATCACTTACTAACCGTAGCATTTTATTTTCTTTCAGGGACGATAGTATGGCAAACTATCCCTCAGCATCACCAGAATCAGATGACTAGTCAAAACCAAATTCTGTTTTGCGCAGAATTTAATCCGAAGACTTCCGAGTTAAAATTTCCCAGTTATCTCGACAAGAAACCGGGTTTATTCGAGTGTCCGAACTGTGGCAAGTATTATCGCTGGTTGAGAAACATGAGGAGCCATCTGAAGATCGAATGTGGCAAAGATCCAAAGGAGTGTTGCCCTTATTGCTCACATCGCACCAAATACAAGAGTAGTCTGCATAAACACATACAAAGAATGCATCCGGAGAATAATTTTGTATAATTTTATGAAACATTTTATAAAATTTTTTTGTCTAAATTCTAAGCAGAATCATAATCGTAACACATTCTTGTAAGACTTATAAGAACTGTTAATTGCTTGTATCTTTATACAATATCTTTACAAACAGCTTCTTTCTAGCCATAAGGTTTACAAGAAATCGTAAATATTTACTAACAATCGTACGATACATAAGCATAAAATTAGGAAACTAGTCGTAAGTTCTTACAAGTTTTACGAGAACAAATTACGAGTCTTACAATTTGCTTAGAATTATTGTTTTTTTTATTATTCATTGTTGTTACAATCAAACTTTGCGGATATATATATGTATATGTGTGTGTGTATTTGGTGAGGCAGAAAGGAAAATTATTTATTGTTATATATCAGGATTGTTAAATATCAGGATTTTTGTAAATTATTATTTATTAAATAAACCAACTGTACATGTTGTTTAACAAGCATCGACTAGTATGCTGTTTATAATAAATCTTTCATAATCATTATAAATTTAATTAGCTGAAATGAAAATGATATTAAATTGTCTGTTGATAGAGTTTGTGAAGTGTTCTTTGTGTTTTATTTAATATCCCTGCAAATTTTTGTAAATTATGATCGATTGCGGAATATTTTGCTAAATAGAGTTTATTTTTATGTTTAAATTTCTTTTTGAAGTATAAATTGATTGTAAATATACATATAATATATATACACTTACAATTAATTCATAAAAAACTTAATTTTTTTACTGAGAAATTAAAGAGTTACATTATTAAAAACGTTAGGTCTAACAGATCCATGCAATCAGAGTTTAAATGATTTTATTTTAATTTTCTGCCGAAAAATGTCTGTCTTGATAAAATAAATTATTAATGCAACTTTAGAAGTTTAACTTATTTATTATAAATTCATGTGAAAAATTTTTATGTATCAGCAGAATTAATTCATGGAATTAGTACTTTACGAAGATTCGCACAATTTTATCAATAATATTATACATTAAGTGATATATTTAATATATTAAACGAGTATTTATTTTAGTTGCTATCTTATTATATCCGCCTTCTTATGCTGTACTTTGCAAACAATTTCATCGTGGCTCTACGCTAAATATCTTCAAGCACGTATTTTTTAACATCCTCCACGAGCAAAAATATTGGAAAAAGAAGTAAAATTTGTGGATTAATTCATAAATCTTGTACGTATATTATTTTCAGCACATGAAATCTTTTTTTTGTATTTTAAAAGGATATCTTAATAATATGCATACGATCCATAGATGTCTTAACATTTCGCAGAAAATCTAATTTTGAGAGAATAATGTTAAATACGAATAAATTCATAATAATTGTAATAGTAATATTTCTCGTGTGAAAGTGCTTCAGAGACATGTTTTGTCATATGCTATTACTAATCATGAGATCGCGTCTTCAAAGCACTCTGCGGATAGAAAGACACTTGCTGGAAAGCATCTTCGTTCGCATCATGGTGAAATTCTCTGGTGATCCCGCGCGACTGTAAAATAATTTCCTCACTGACTAGCATTTCTGTTGCAGGTGTCAAGTATGCGTGCCAATGCTGCGGACGAAACTTCTCATGGCCGTCGAGTCTACGTCTACATCAAAAAATGGCGTGCGGTAAACCGCCGAATTTCTACTGCACCGTTTGCGATTACAAGTCGAACTTCAAAGGCAACCTGAAGAGGCACCTGTTTTGCAAACACAATATAAATTTGTATTGATATATGCGCGATTAGGCGATTATGCGTTTTTTTTTTTTTTTTTTTTTTTTTTTAAAGAGACCGACCCTTCGAAAGAAGAAAAAGGAAATTTTATGTCTTTAATAAAATGTATTTGTTGTAACACGTCCTATGATAATCTTCCTTTTAATCCTTCAATTTTATTTCAGTTGCAGTTGTAGTTGAATGCATTGGTTTTTTCGCGGATTACTTCTGTTTTAGGTCATACGTATCGAAAAGTGTCGATACGAGAACGAAGTTCTAGTAAGTATGTATGTACGAAAAGGTAATCGCACGTGTGTTAGTTTTCTTCCTTGAGATTGAAGAAGCGCTTTTCGAGACGATCGATCATTTTCGAGCACAGATTTTCATGAGATCAGACGTTTTCTTACTCTCGTAATTTTATTCACACTTTGGATCACGTATTTGAAGAGATGTTTTACTCGCGACACTCGAAAAGCGCCGTCTCACTAGATGGATCATCCCGAGGACGTCTTCGCGGAGAATCCATTCCCGACTTGCTCAAGGCATGCGCTTTGATGTATAGAGACTATCTTGGTTGCGTTCGACGCTTGTTACCTCGTGACCGTTCAACTCTGGATCCTAAATGAGATCTCACGGGTTCGCACTACCCCGTTAACGGGAATGAGACCCGATTCTCTCGCGGTCTTCGTGATTATGCTCTAACAGACGTTTTTCTTTTTCAGATGCACCCCTCTTTCCAATCGTGAGGCCGCGGCTGCACGTGTGCCCCCGCTGCGGCCAGATGTACTCGTGGGCATCGAACCTGCGGAAACACCTCAAGATGGGCTGCGGCATGGTCACCTTCGAGACGCACTTCTCCTGCCAATACTGCCCCTACAGATCGAGGATCGAGGCGAGCTTCCTCAAGCACCTGCTCTCGGTGCACAACATCAAATAGACGTCGCACTTGGGCGACATTCCTGGTATCTCGCCGACTGACGTCTCCGGGAGGAATTCGTCCGAGGTTTTTCTCGCGATCAGAACGAACGAGAAACTCATTAATCTCGACGGTTCTTTCGCAGGAAGAAGAGCCTCGCCACGGTCTCCTTGAGTCAGATAATCTGGTAGTCGGATAATATCATACGCCCTGCGGAACTGTCCTCCCGTAGCTTCCCATGCTACTTGTTCTTATCTGATAAGAAGCTCGCGTATTCGAGCGAAAACTGGTGCGTTGATCTCCGATGAGGAACTAAAATATTTGCTCGAATGATGACAGAAGCA